GATTGGTATTCTGAATCTATAGATCAGTTAAGAACAGACATTCTATCCAGGACCATGGGATATCTCTATTTAGTTTTCCTTTGATTTCTTTCATCAGTTTTGTAGTTCTCCCTATAGAAGTCTTGCATATATTTTGTTAAGATTTATACCTATTTCATTTTTATTGGTGCTAATGTAAATGTTGTATTTTAATTTTAATTGGAATTGTTAGTGGTACAGTAAAGCAACTGATATTAGTATATTAATCTTGTATTCTGCAACCTTGCTATAAATGCTTACTAGTCTGAATTTTTTGAGTAAATTCTTTTTTTTTATTTGACACACAGAGAGAGACAGCGAGAGAGGGAACACAAGCAGGGGGAGTATGAAAGGGAGAAGCAGGCTTCCCGCTGAGCAGGGAGCCCTATGTGGGGCTCGATCCCAGGACCCTGGGCTCATGACCTGAGCCGAAGGCAGACGCTTAATGACTGAGCCACTCAGGCGCCCCTTTTGTGTCAATTTTTTCAGATTTCCTACAAGACAATTACGTCATCTGTGAACAAAGACAATTTTACTTCTTCCTTCCCAATCTGTGTACTTTTTATTTCCATTTCTTGACCTATTGCATTATCTAGGACTTCCAGTACAATGTTCTACAAGAGTGGACATCCTCCTTTCCTTCCCTTATTCCTGATTTTTAAACCGCTCCCCCCGCAACTTCTGAATTTTAATAGGAAAGCTTCTAGTTTCTCACCACTAGGTATGTTAGGTGTAGGATTCTTTTAGCTTCTTTACCAAGCGGAAGAAGTTCCCTTCTATTTCTGGTTTTTGGAGGTATTTCTCACTTAGAATGTTTATGTACAAGTCTTTAGCATGCTTTTATTGTGGGTGGGAATATGATTTTGCTCCTTTAACTGGGATTTGACTTGGATCCTTTTTGTTACTCAGATTTATATTGACTTAGTTTTTCTGTACTTTTAGAGAGGAGGCATGATTTGAGTCTTTCTAGTTTGAAGGCTCTACGGTACTATATTTTTTAGTGAATAACTGTTAAAATGTGGACTGTGCAAACAAGAGCTGTTTATTTTTCTAAGGTTATTTTTAAAATTTTATTTATGAGAGAGAGAGCAAGTGAGTGAGCGAGCACAAGCAGGAGGAGCGGCAGGCCAGAGGGAGAAGCAGATTCCCCATTGAGTAGGGAGCCTGATGGGGGATTCAATCCCAAGAACCTGGGATCATGACCTGAGCTGAAGGCAGATGCTTAACCGACTGAGCCACCCAGGCGTCCCAAGAGCTGTTTATTTTTTTATTAAAGATTTTATTTATTTATTTGACAGAGAGAGACACAGCGAGAGAAAACACAAGCAGGGGGAGTGGGAGAGGGATGCGGGGCTCAATCCCAGGACCCCAGGATCACGACCCGAGCAGAAGGCAGACGCTTAACGACTGAGCCACACAGGCGCCCCCCAAGGGCTGTTCAAATTTAGCACCAAATATGCTTAGAACTTTATGACCAATTGTTTCTTTCAGGAGTTACAAAGGAAGTTATTTAATAACCATTATATTGTTCCTAAAAGGAAAAGAAATACATCCTGGATTTAATGGGACTAGTTTCACTCTTATTCCAAACACTTCATTTAATGTGGCACTCCCCACCCCAGATCTGTATTTTGATTGTCCCACTCAATTGGGATTGTATAGAGTTCCTTTTCAGCGTGCACCTTTGTCCTGGGTACTCTGCTGGTTAAGAATTTTCTTGAACCAACTGCTCTGGTCCCTTCAGACCCAAGCAGGCATCCTCTGTACAACAGTTTTGGCTGTTGTTCTCAACCTGGTACACTCAACTTCCAAGTGAGTACTTGTTTTAGAGTTCTGAGATCGATCAGATGCTCCATGGCTTCCTCTGAAACAGAAGGGGATACCATGAAGGTATTGTGGCTATTGGCAGTTTATTTCTACCCACCTTTTGTTTCAGGGCTCACAGGGATACCTAATTTTTTGGTAAAGTTGCCCAAGGTTTTTCTGTTTTTGTTTTCTAAAGTAAGCTCTCTGCTCAATGTGCGGCTTGATCTCACGACCCCAAGTTCAAGAGTCACATGCTCCACTGACTGAGGCAGCCAGATGCCAACGTTTTTGTTTTTGAGTTGCCCAAGGTTTTGTTTTGTTATCATGACTGCTCTATGTGTTCTTATGGGGAATATGAGAAATATTCATTAGTATTATTTCAGAATCTCTGCCAGGTTAAGTTTTGAATGTAGGAGCAGGTAAAAGTTATAGGGGGCACCATCTCTTCCAGTAACTGCTTTTCACCAAGTTGTTCTCTTTATCAATCTTTAGCACACAGTATGTTAAGAACTTTGGCAAACTCCTTTCTCTCTCTGAGCCTCACAGCAGATCATGGAGGCTGCCCAAGCTCTGATTGATGAATTGATAATCAGGGTAGTTTCCAAGCAAAGGGCCTACTCCTTTTGGACAATCATGCATTTTATTAACTTCAGGGTGATCTCTGTTTAATTAAACAGAAACCTGCACCATAAAACTGATGCTGAAACACTGCAATAGGCCTCAATTGCTCATCTTTACATGTATCTTTAAAAAGCATTTGACTTGCTTTTAAAGATTTTTTTTTTTTAATTTATTTGAGAGAGAGAGAATGAGAGACAGAGAGCATGAGAGAGAGGAGGGTCAGAGGGAGAAGCAGACTCCCTGCTGAGCAGGAAGCCCGATGTGGGACTCGATCCCGGGACTCCAGGATCATGACCTGAGCTGAAGGCAGTCGCTTAACCAACTGAGGCACCCAGGCGCCCCCTTGCATCTGACTTGCTTTTATCACAGAATTATGAGACCAAATAAGGCACTGTATATGAAAATGCTTTCTAACAAGGACCAGGCACCTACTGACTCCAGGCAGAATCCAGCTGTGGCTGGTGGAAGGTTATCTAGGTATTCCAGTTTAGAAAAGGATCTTCTAAGAAAAAAAAATTTTTTTTTTAAGGAAAGGAGCTTTTATTTTTTTTAAAGATTTTATGAGAGTGAGAGAGAGAGAGAGAGCATGAGAGAGAGAATGAGCAAGGAGGAAAGACAGAGGGAGAGGGAGAAACAGGCTATCCACCAAGCAGGGAGCCTGATGCGTGCCGGGCTCAATCCCAGGACCCTGGGATCATGACCTGAGCTGAAGGCAGATGTTTAACCGACTGAGCCACCCAGGCACCCCAGAAAAAAAAAATTTTTATTATGTCATCAACTAGTTACTTTCTAAGCTCCTTAAAGAAATGGATAGCATCTTCTCCATCTTTGAATCCCTCATGTGCTTATTAGCAAAATGAAGTCTATCATAGCCCTCAGTAAGTATTTGTCAAACAAATGTTAGAGCAAAATACTGCCATACCAATCCATCAGCAAGCACTGCTGTTTACTTGCAAAATGTATCCTGATTCCAACTATTTCACCTTATCCCTGTTTGTTACCATCTTAGCAGAAGCTGCCATTGTATTGCCCCCTACTTGAATAACTGCTATAGGTTCCCAACTGGTTTCCTGGCTTCTATTCATCTCTCCCAGGAGCAAAACAGTAATTTTTAAACACTAACCAACCAACAACAAACCATAAACTAGACCATGTCACTTCTGTGCCTAAAATCCTGCAGTGACTTTCCCACTGTATATTTTTGTAAATATTTGAGAGAGAGGGAGCACCAGCAGGGGGAGGGACAGAGGGAGAGGCAGACTCCCTACTGAGCAGGGAGTTGGCCGACGATGATGAGGGGCTGGGGCTCGATCCCAGGACCCTGGGATCATGACTTGAGCCGAAGGCAGATGCTTAACTGACTGAGCCACCCAGGCTCCCCTCCCACTGTATTTAGAACCCACATTCTTTTTTTTTTTTTTAAAGATTTTATTTATTTATTTGAGAGAGAGAGAGAGAATGAGAGACAGAGAGCATGAGAGGAGGAGGGTCAGAGGGAGAAGCAGACTCCCTGCCGAGCAGGGAGCCCAATGTGGGACTCGATCCCAGGACTCCAGGATCATGACCTGAGCCGAAGGCAGTCGCCTAACCAACTGAGCCACCCAGGCGCCCAGAACCCACATTCTTTAAACTAAACCCAAAAGGCTCTGTATCAGGAGCAGCAAACTACAGCCTGCAGGCCGTATCTGACTTGCCACATGTTTCTGTGAATATAATTTAATTGGAGCACAGGCAAGTAGGGCCTGTGGCTGTTTCTGTATCACAAGACAGAGCTGAGCAGTTGTGACAGAGACCATATGGCTTGTGAAGCCTAAATACTATCTGGCCCTTTACAGAAAACACTTTTGTTGACCCCTGCTCTATGTGATCTGATCCCCTACCTTCCTGGGTATTGGCTACCCCCTATCCCTGTCCCGGTCATTCACTATATCAAGTCTATTCCTGCACCTGCTCTTCTAATTCCCCAGCAATTATCTTTATTTATATTGACACATAACTGCCTCCTTATCATTGAGGTCTCTGCTTAAATGTCAACTCCTCAGAGACCTGTCCTAATCAACCAATCTAAAGTGTCCCTTCAACCTCCTTAGTTACGTCTCTGCTATGAAACAATAACATGGTAATGATGATTTGAAATCACCGACTGGTTTAGTTCTCACCCCACTCTAGAACATAAGCTCCATGAAACCTTATTTGCCTATCTCCATCTTCAAATTTTAACCAGCATAAACCCACCACCCAAAACAAATGCCTGGTAGTTTTTGAGTGGGAAAGAAGAGGGCCAATAAATAGCTGATGAATGAATGAGGCCAAGGTCAGGAACTCCAGTCCTGTTCAAATCAGTTTGTAACGTTTAGTTTCACTGTTGCTGAATGGCCTTGATACAGACCTGACTTGAATCATAAAAGCCTAAAGGAAGATCAATACATATTCCTGGTCCATTATGCACAAAACAACTCCACCAAGAGCATATGCCTCTTCAGGTAAGGGTAGCGGTAGGAAAACCAGGCAAGGCAAGGTCAGAGAATTGGACAAAGAAGTTCTCAACTTTATGATTATTATGGTTAAGAATTTTATTATCAAAATTATTACATCTCTTGTGAAAGTTCAAATGTTACAGCAAGGTGTAAACACTCCACTTGAGAAAGAAGTGATACTTCTTCCCTTCCAAGAGTTCCCCCCACCCCCCCGCCCCCACCCCCCCCAGAGGTCTGGTCTTGACAGCACCCTGCCCACACAGAGTGGCTGGGGTCTCTGCACGTGCCAGGCAGGGTGAGGGCCGCCTGCCCGCTGGCCTCTCCCCTTGGCTAAAGCCAAGGGGAGAATGCAAACCCCAGCCCAAATGGAGAGACATTTACATACGTTTTATATAATATACAAAGAAACCAGCATCCCAGGCAACATGATTTCCACTCCCAACGCTCTCCCAGACTGATGGGTTTGTGGGGGAAACAACAAAAAGAAAAGTATTCTGCTGAGGTTTCAGCATTAAAAAAAAAAAAAAAATCTCCCCTCATTTGAGCAAACACCTGATTTCAATTTTGAAAAAGTGAAATTTTGTAACAGTCACACACAAAGAGAGAAGACTGTGCATATGATAGTTGTAGGAGAGGGTAGAAAAGAAGGGGATGCAAGAGGCTGGGGAAAAAAAGAAGAAAACAAATTGGAAGGAAGGAGGGAGACTCACAGTATTATCTTGTCCAAAAGAAAAGAAGTAAGGTCCACTGCAGCACCAGGGATTACACCTGTCATATATTTGCTACCCCTACCATGGTTATAACTGAATACAAAATTAGATAAATAAAAACACGCCGGATATTACAGTAAACAAGTGAAAGAAATAAGCTGGCAACCGTATGGAATTTAAAAAGATTGTGTACCCCACCTGGGCTGGCTCCAGGGCTCCTCCAGGGGCGTACAACAGGCACAATGCACTGATGGGGAGAAGCCAGTCTGCTCGCGTCTCTCATCCAGAACAGTGTTAGGTGTGTGGGTGGCTTTTTAACTCTCTCACCTGGGTCATTCTCAAATAAGCATCCCCCAAAGAAATGTGGGACATGCCCACACACAATCACAGTCCTGTCGGTGCCACTCCACAAATGTATCTTTCCACTCTTACCCTGCAGTCACAAGTGCGTGCTCCCTAATCATGGAGGTGGTCCTATTCATGGGATCATCAACTCCTGATTAACTGGGAGTAGAAAAAATAAAATTCAAAGAATTCCCAAAACACCTGGGATCCTTGCTAATCAAATTTATTGCCAACAGCTGATAAGTAGCAATGCAATTGGCCCATCTCACTTATTTCTCTTTTCTTTGCCTACTTCCTTTCTGGGTTACTGAGCTGTGAGACAGCTTGGGGAGGGGAGAAGGGTGGGAACAGCTTGGGGCTCAGACAATCTACTATGATCATCTGCTCCTGTGACCAGGAGCTCTTCTTCAGAGAGCCAGGCACCCCTCAGCCAGAGCACATTCCAAGTTTTGCCATCCCTGCCTATTTCTCAGTGATTTTAAGACAAAGGTAGGGAGTATTCTTGGTGGACACATCTCGGCCAGATACCTGCTTTGGGAATGGTTGTCACAGGGCAAACATTTCCATACCTACCTTCTTCTTAAGTGCATAAAAACCCTACTACTACTCAGATGGCTTGGGGCTCTGAGATTGGTTCTTTTCACTTTTTTTCCTCTGAAAAGAAAACTTTTTTTGGGGGGGAGGGTGTGTGTGTGTGTGTGTGTGTGTGTGTGTGTGTGTGTAAAAAGATGTCCCCACTGCACAAGTGACTACAGGCTACAGGCAAGGACAGGAGACAGAGGCTTCAACACGACTCATTGCACTTAGAACCGTTACTAACCGGAACACCATTTGCTTGTCAACAATGTACCCTTAACAGCAGGGAGAAACTTCTTTATAGTCTCTGCTTCAGACAAGATTTACATCTTTCTCCAAGGCCAGAGCCAGTCGCGACCACAAGTCTCGTTTCTTGTCGACCAGACCCAGTCCTCTGGCACCTTGTACCCTCTTCCCCAGCAATATGCTCGGCCTAGGTTCCAGAGGCAGCTGGAAGGAAGCAGCTATGGGCTCATTCAGTTCTGTTTGCCCAAATCCAGAAGCCCTAGGAAAGTCCTGTCTGAGTCTTGACTCCTGACCCTTGCAGCGGCTGGAGTCGGTACTGGTGTACACCCCCACTCCCACGGTGTGGGTAGTGCTGTGAATTGGAAACCGCAGATACCCTGGAGGTCTGGTAGGCAGCGGACTGCCCAGCACTGGGCAGACTGATAGTCCGTAAGTCTGATGGCAATGACGACCTAGAGTTCTGAGAGAAGGAGGTGGAACTCAGAGTTCCTGTGCTGGACTGGGAGACCGAGTCTGAGGTCGGCGAGTCTGAGGGGCCCTGTGGGGTAGGGCTAGCAGCACTAGAAGGGCAGCTCCTCCTCGGAAGATTGCTGCCAGTGCTGTTTCCAGAATGTGGCTGGCTGCTATAATACCCTGGTGTCCCCGTAAATGGGGCCAACGAGTCTGTGGATACAGGGTGGGCAGGGCTGGAATAGGACGTAGAAGAGAGGGAAGATTCTGAAGAACCGTGAGAGGGGGGATTTCCAGGTCTCAGTGCAGTAGTTCGATAACTGTATCCTGGAGATTGGGTGGGATGTCCTCTAAAGGGGGAGGAACTCTGCTGAAGGAGGCTTTGTGATTCTGTCCGTGGACTATCACACTGCAGGAGCTAGAAAGAGTCGGGAGGAAAAGCATAAGGAGGTGAAAAAGTCCCTATTTAAGCCATTTAGGCTTGTGAATATTTAAAATACCCTACTTTCTCTTCTTCTTCTTCTTCTTCTCCTCCTCCTTCTTCATCTTCTTCATCTTCTTAACCATTTGTTCTTTTTAGGATACCAAAGACAGTAAAATGGCTGTCTCTGATCACTTTATTTATTTTTTTGGCATGATTTATTACCTGAAGGTGAGCAGATGATGACTTATTTCCAAGGTTGCTGAAACTATATGCAAAGGCGGCATCTCAACTGCAAAGGATGGCCAGGATCACAAAATATTTGGAACCCAGAATATACTCCTATGCCCAGAGATGAGCAATTTCTCGTCTCACCTGGTAGCTGTATCTGGAAGGGCTGTAAACGGCTGCTCCTTTAGAGAGTGCTGAGCTCAGTGTCTCTGGGCCTTCTCCATCTGCAGGGTCTGGAAGATAATACAAAATCAACTTGGCTTCCTAGAGTAAGTGAGAAATAGCCATTGTTCATTCAAATCACCAATGCTATCACCAACCCACGCTTTCTTTCTAACAAATCAGGTGAGTGCAGCATGCCAGAGGGGCAAATGGAGTGGTTAATTATGGGCGATGTTTT